TAGTAAAACCTAATTAATATAGTAAAACATAGATAATATAGTAATATGCATTATTACTGGCAACCCTGCCACGTGTTGAATTCTTGTTACGGTGTAGACACACTACAGTGTGTTTACACCAACTTGTGTAATCCACACTTATGTACGGTCTCCCCATCTTGTACGATCCGCCTTTTCATACAGAGGTACGTGTAAGCCCCGTTACACTCCCCCCATTAAAATTGTGAATATTCTTAATTCACATTTAACAGTCGCCTTATACGAGGTTCGCGGTATGAGACACCTTGACGTGAAGAACTTTATTCATTCTCCGCTTTATGAGCCCTGTGTCTACGACACATAAAACACCCAGTCTAGCTGGTTCCGAGGGCGCCGACGGGCAAAGCCCATCTTCTTTTTCTGCACATGGTGCATATCCGGACAGTACATCTGCGGCTTCACGGAATGCACATTTCAAGCCCTCGATAACCGAGCGCAACGAACCGCGCCCACCGACTGTCTCGTCGAGGAGTTAACAAAAACTGACTACGAGTCGGATACATCTTTCTCAGCATGGGAAGACGAGGAAGATAAAGTGCACCAACGGCGCGACGTGAGCCAGCTCAAACCTTGCGGAAATCATGTCCGTTCCCCGACCTCTCGGTTTCCAAGGAAAGTGGTGATATTACTAATCGCCTTGACGAGGCACGGGAGCAGCAATTAGAGGCTGCTCACAAAGCAGCTTTCCTGCGCTCGTATCCACGTTCGGTTTTAGACCCTCATGTGAAATTCGGCTTCCGCTCGGCGGATCCCGCTACTGAAGCAAAAGACGCGATCACCTGATGTTAGGCGTCTACGTAGTCAGAGCCCCGGCTACTACACAAACTGAGCTTGATCAGCGGAAAGCTCTGCGAGCTCGCTTTTTGTTACCACAGGAAGTCCCAATGGATCGGTACCGCGCTTGACTTCGAGCTCAAAAAATAAGTAATCCTATACCCGCAAAGCGGACCATCCCTGTGGTGCTCGCCTCTGGCGAAACCCCTGCAGATGACGATTCACTCTTTAAACGATTGGTGCAACAGCACCGCCAACTTCCTCCACTGTCTACCACACAACGAAGCCACAAGGAGGTGGGTGCGCCTGTGGGGCGCCATCTTCGATTTGACTTTGTCAAACTCAAGGAGCAACGCCGACTTCGTGCGTATCGTCGTCCCGCGACACATGGAATATTCTATAGCGATCCCGCGAGCTTTGTGGTTTCTCACGCGGGTGAGTCTATGACCACAGCAGCTCAGGGCCATAGCTTGAGATCGGCTCATGGCTTTTCGGCTCCGGGCTACTGCCGAGAAGCGCCGGGCGATTTGAGACTTACAACGACGCGGAAAGTCATGCCCATTCAGATCATAAGCGTCTACGACGTCCGGGCAGTCTTACCGAAGTGGCACCTCAAACGCACACGAGTTCTAAGAGTTTGGAGATCACCGTCACTTCACAAGATGTGGATCAACCCCCGTCGACGACGTCTACCCACAAGGCATTCCTCGTTGTACTATTCTCGTCGAGAAAAGTCGGCAGTGGGCGGTGTCGACTTGATTGCCCGCCGTCCAGTGACTCGATCGACAAACATCGTCGCTGTACCTACACCGTTGACGGTGTCCGGTACTGCTGCAAGATGAGTCATCGCGTCTAAACGGTCCACAAAGTCCATATTCATTGCCTGCCAACATTCGGAGAGTACAATTAAGCTTGCCAGGGCGCCGCCGCATTCGGCGAGGGCACCACCCTCTGACACGACTCACACGTACGCACATATGTGGTCGCCCATATTTACAGCTTAAGTAATTAATCGTGGCAACTCCCCAAGCTGTACGTTCTTTCTCTACCGAGATGTCGTAGTGTTATGGGCCTCATAGAGGATACGGTATCAAATCCTCATCATGGGAAACAACAATTCTTGACGTATCCCACTCGTACACTTTGCTCTGAACAATGCAGTGCATGCGTCTACCGGTTACACGCCGCTACGCGAACGGGCGTGTTAATACTTGCATCCCGCTGACGCCATATCTCATGGCTCAGGGCGTGGTGGGGAGGAATAGCCGCGGCTAGCTGATGTCGCCCCCTCACCGTCTGTAAAGAAGTCAATGACTTCCTGTCTACCAAACTGAGTGTCATAGTGACACGTTCGCGATGCGTTGGCTGAAAGCCAAGACATACAGAAATAATATGCAGACGGAAGAGGAAAAAGGAATGCTGGAAACATTGGGGACGGGGACCTAACTACCCAGTCCACGACAAGAAATTACTTGCGATGAAGTATGCGCTTATCAAGTTCGGGGTGTACGTGCTGGATCAAAGCTGTTTGTGATCTGCACAGGTCATGTGTCATTACGCGCTGCGACTCAGTCGCCTCACCTCTCGCAGAGGATGGCCAAGTGGCTCTCATTTTTTGCGGAATATAACTTCGAGGTGAAGTATAACCTAGAATGCTTTGGCTGATGTGTTGTCACGCAGAACGGTCTATGAGCTTGCTCATGTCACGACAATGTCGTCGTCAGTGACGGATTTAATCCGTCCTGAATATGTGGGTGACAGTTTGTGTGTAGCGCTGCTACAGGCTCTTGGAAACAAGGAGCTTGGACA